ATAGCAATGAATAAAATTACGAAAAAAGCTGCAAAGGATATCATTTATCTATTGTTGACGCTGTAAAACTTTATCATGATTTCGATATTTGCTGTCGCAATGTAATTAGCTGTCATACAAAACGCAATCACGTCTCCAGCTGTCAATTACCATAGCGTAGTTTATTGTCAGAAGTGCATCTCCTCGTTAGTTACCTAATCAGTTGCTCCATAAATCATCCTTACCTCCGCCATAACGAAGTGCTCTAGTCGAAAAGATCATTGAACTGTATGGGTTGACAATAAGACAACAAAACATCATAGCATCGACAACTTCACTTCTTTTTTGATGATAACCTTAAAAAATTTTCTGGATTCCTAAGTGAGTCACCACTTTAGCACTCTATCACTTTATCTGATCCATTATCACAGTGTTTTTTCATTGTGCAGATCTCAGCACTTCCAGCATTCAGTTCGTTTTTCATCTTCTTCCTGAACGGCGTAGAATACTAGTTGAGTGTTTTAGACTTCATGTCCTATCTGATAAACTTTCGTTGTTTTTGCTAAGACGAGTTTGCTATCTCTCGTTTCCAAATGCAGTAACGATTCTGTGATATCGTCTTTTCCCCAGCCTCCAAAGATACCCAACCCAATTCTTATTACTCGACCAATGTATTCTAAATCTAGTGCAAATCATATTCTTATATTAAAAAAATAAGCTCTCAATGAAGGATTTCGGTTTTTTTTTCTTTGAGACGACAGCAAATGAAGAATCTACCCCTTTCTGGACAAGAATTTTCATAAGGGTGCTAGTAACCATTAGAGTTGGTTATCACTAGCGTTAATCTTTATTAAAAAGCTTAAATCTCTGAATAGTGCGCCATGTAACCAAGTCTTGAAAAAGTTTTTTTTACAACTTTATAGCAGACAGAAAACATTTGTGTTTTACACGCTCACACACACCCACACATATCCCCCAGAGACAAAACTGTTCCTGGAATTTCTAACAATCATTCGATAGCGTCTATTTTAGCAGTTCCAATGCTGTGAATTTTTCTGGATCAACCGTTTCACTGCAGTGTTGCAGGGAAAATGATACTGAGATTTACAATAGAGGCGTATTCCTTTATAGGCTAGTGTATTAGGTGTGGGCCGGCGACGCTGTGATATTTTGTTTGGATTTTTTCCCGATTTTGGAAGAACATCAGGTATAACGTATAATTCTGATAATGCAAGATTTCCTCCACACGTTCATATACTTATAGTGCATCTAGCGAAATAACAGTAAAAGCACCCACCTGTCACCTGTCGTACCGCTAATCGTTGAGTGACTTGAGAGGCTATCAGCAACACTTTCATTTTTCCCTATCGCGCGCCAGAGTAGCCCATTGGGTCCTCCACGCTCTAGGGATTCGCTGAGCATCATATCTTTCTTCTATATCTTTCGTGAAGAAATCGGACCATCGGGTCGGTGGTCTTCCTGTGGAGCGCTTGATATCCCGAGGGATCCAGTCGGTAACGGCTCTCAACCACCGGTTTTCGTTGAAGCACATCACGTGCCGACCCGCCTTATTTTCGATATCCTGGAGCTAAGAACGGTCTCTTTGATTTTTGATCTCTGACAAAGGTCGAAACTTCGAATCCTTTCTCTCATTTGCGAGATACTGGATACCCCTAGCATCGACCTTCCGATTGTGCGTTCAATAGCGCCAAGTGGTCTTTCATCCTGCTTACGCAACGACCAGGTTTCTGCCGCATACGTCAAGGCAGGGACAATCATCGAGTCCAAAAGATGGGCACGAGGTCGGATGTTCTTTGCCTCCTTCACTACATCATCGCGAGCGGTGTGAAACGTAATATGTTTGGAATACTACAATGTCTCTTCAAAAGAACGAGCACCCTGCGCAGAAACCAGGAATTTAACCTTTCTATTGATCATGCACACTCTTAGTAGTTCAAAAGCAGTTTGTAGCTTGAGCAACTCATATGTGTTTGTATTTGTTTTCTGCTGATCCCTACGTCATTAAGTTGCCAAAGCAATCCAACTTCTAATACAGTAGCATATCGCAGATACTATATCATCAAAATAACCTAACGTTTGGGGTGCTGTTACTTTCTCAACTCACTTTATCGCATTATTTTAACCTTTACCACAGTTTTTTTCCTGCTGTGCGTCCCAATACTTCTAGCACCCGTCGTCATCTTGCTTCCCTGAAAATCTATCTCTTCAAAAACTCCGTAGAATTGTTGCCGAGCACGGCTCCTTGGAATCGCAAGAAGAATCAGATTGGGGTGTTACGTAGGACGCTCGGTATTGATTGCGGGAAAGTCTTTGAAGTCCACGTGATCAGTTCTCCATCGAGCCGTGCGGAACATCGCTAGCCACTCTGACACGACACCCCGCTATTTCTTTCGAGGCATTATGAAATTTCAGTACCGATTGCGAGAATCCTTTTCACTCACCTCCTCCCAAATCTTGCTTTGTCATCTTCACTTCTTGAATTGTCCTGGAACGAGAAATATCTATATTGCTTTTGTTATTATGCTTTATTTTATTTCCGGTTATTTACGTGTTCTTTGGTTTAGATTGTTTCAGTGTTAACGTTAATATAACCATGAAATCACCAACCTGAGGATTAAGTATGTAGGACTGAGAAGATATCTGACCGGTGAGGTAACAATGACGAACTGAATATAGCGGCAGCAGTTGTTGAAATGAAACACACCACATTAAGCATCCAAGTCATCTCTAAATGTGATACTGATAAAACTTGATACCAATTATGATGAAACAAGCTATGATTTAGCATATTTTGAAAAACAGCTGAGTATGCTCTTTTAAGCACAGAATGTAGGAAAATTTCTTGAGCAAGAACTGAAACACCCATCTTGGCTTTATGTGTGTTTACTGATCATTTCTATTTCAAATTACTCAAGTATAGAAAGGGAGAACGATCGGAGTGCAACCATTTTGAGAACACTTTTTTCCAAAAAGATGTTCCCTCCATAACAAACTTGGATAATTGTTATCCAGTTTCTTGCGCCATTCATCGAGTTTGCGAGAATTTCGCAAGTAAATAAACCAGCTCCAGAGCTTTGGAGGATCATCGCAACCTCTTTTAGGTAAGGATTCAATTTTGGAAGTGTACAGTTGCTTCAGTGTAAACAGCCAGTGCAGCGAACGTTAAACGGTGTGAAGAAAGGATTCCTTGTCGTTTCGTAGAACAAGCAAAGAAGATCTATCATGAGGCGACTTTCTTGGGTCCTTGATCATCATGAGGCGACAAATGGCAAACATATCTTAATCGCTGGGCAGGAACATTTCATAGGAGTGTTGGTAATCGAAAGCTCAAAATTCTGACTAGAATCCCCGTAGCCGGTATCTTGAGACACCCTTTTATGCCGTTATAGAATCCAAAACAAGGTTATGTTTAACACGACCAAAAAAATGTCAGTGATTCTAAACCATGCTTATTCCTTGAAAATGTCGTGTAGCAGGGAGAATAAGATCGAGTTTTACATTTCCGGTAAGCTTGTTACCGGCTAGTTATGAAGTTGGTTCAGGGTCGATTGGTCGATACCCTGGCTATTGGATATGTGGTATGCAACTTAGTATTCCATTGGGAATTTTTTCTCAGGTTTGAAAGAAAGCTCAGGTAAAGTGATTGCCTCGAATAACACAAAAATTCTTGACACGTTGATATGCTTTTCGTGCTTCAAGCGAATTATACACGTGTTAAAGATGAAAGCGCGTGGAGGTTGCGAAACATAGTCTTATTTTGAATACTACATCGTTATAAAAACGCTTTTTTTGAAAACCGTCCACGTACGGCTCTAACCAGATATCTAAGACTTCAAATGACTACTGACACTCACTCATATGAGAAATTGTTGCCCTGCAAATGAGGTCGCACATTAGTGCGCCCTGGATAACCGAAATAAAACCTTTTTTCATAGGGATGCTTGAGATGCAATCGTTAAAGGTGCTCTGCGACACACACGTGGTCGATCGTGATGATCGGTAGCTTGATCTCACGCTCAAGGTTCACTAAGCCTTTTATCTCTCAGGATCGGTGAATTGGTATCCCAGATGTGTGGAAGGATTGCACTGACTTGATACACTGACAGGAGACCACGAGTTATTGTAAGGGCCAGATAGCACAAGCATCTCAAATGATGCTAGATGAAGACAAATGCATGCGGCATCCCTTGAAACGCTGAAGCAAAGAGCTGTGATTTTCATCTTTCACAGACAATAAACGTTACGACGAGGATAGTCTACGAAGCCACATAAGTACTAAATGGCTTTTGTATTCTTACGACAATCAGCGTACTTGGAACAAATGAAAGCACTATTTCCACATAAGGTTGTCAAAGCAGTCATGTGAGTGAGTACATTCTATTCTGGAACAAAGTTCTGTAATAGCTTACGTAAATCTCTTTTGAGTTAACTTTTGGTGCGGCAGACTCACTGCGCTATTTCCTCCTCGCCGCTCACGGCGAGCAATTCGCAGTGCCGAGAGGTTAGTTATGCAGCTGGACATCGGGAAGAATATTTTGGACCGTCCCCCCTACCAACGCTTCTTAGCAGACGTTATTTTGCAATGTCGATAAGTACCGAAGATTCTTCTATAGATGTAATTATGCCGAAAGAGAACGATTTGTGAAAGGAGTTAAGGTGCTTGCTTGAACGAATTATTGACTTGAACAAACGAAATAATAATCATATCATTATGGTAACATGATTGACACCTTCAATTTATGGCCGAAGTGATTGATCATTTGACTCGCTATCTATACCCAGATCCTGTAGCATGCCGTTGATCGCCCTTGACAGGCGTAGCACATCTACTGGAACATCAAAATTTGCTCCATTATTCGTAAGCAGCTTCACAACAGCAGCATCTGCTGAATCCGTCGACATCGTCAGTTCGTCGTTATCTGACACAGAAGCAATCAATTAAGAGGAATAAAAAAATGGTTATCTGCTCACTGAATATTTTGTCTTACCTTTTGATACTAGGTAACGAAGTGATTAATTCAGTGGTAGAATGCTCGCCCGCCACGCGGGTGACCAGGGTTCAGTCGCCGGCCATCGCACCAAATATCTATTGGTTCAAGTAGCAGATGACCTGTGGGTCGAAAATCGTTCGTTGAGTTGTGCTTTATACGCCTGCAATGCTTATTAATTTATCAGTAAATACAGCAAGAATAAACCACGTATAGAAAGCAACCTCAAACTTGGGTAACTAAAGCTCTGGTGGAGCTTTGCGTTATAGGAGATAAATATTCTGGGAAAACACTAGGACGTTAAAGGTCTGCACAATTTGAGAAAAGTATTGATTTTGTGAAAAAAATGAAAACTGGCTGCGGTGCTATGAGAAAGTTGACGGACACCTTGACTTTGGGACAAACACGAAGTGGTCGAGTAAATTGAGACCTGTAACTATTTTGTGGAGAAGGCTTCAGTGGCTTCTCAGCTTTTACAACTTCAGCCATTACTGCTGTCTTTCTCTCCTCATAGTCATCATTTATCGCTTTCCTGCATCGTTTCGAAAATTCGAACACGAGTTGTTGACTGCGTGCAGCTCGTGCAAATGCAGGCTGTCGTATCAGCTCGAATGTTTCCGGGAACTAAGGTCTCAGCAACTTGCGAATTTGTCGTAATCTTGAATGATTTTTTCAAAGACAGTATTTTCAAGAGCAAATTGCTGATTTAGATAAATCCTAGCTTGAGGTAGTTTCGGGACTTTGCTGCTTGATTTCTGGGTTACTTTTTCACAAGAGAAATGGAATATGACCTAAAAGCATATTTTGTGTCTCTCATGAGGTTTGCTATGGCATTTACCGAAGTGCAAAACACGTATTCCGGCCTTGCAGCCTCGTCAGCTGCACGGTGCTTTTCAGTTCAGTCGGATTCCCGCAGAGGAAACCCTTACATGTATAAAGAATTTGACGTCGAAATGTTTACATTTACCGCAAGGTGATAAAATCACCAACGGGCAGGGTTGCGCAGTCGATTGCATGTGGCTCTAAAACGTACATCGTCATACTTTCTTCCCGACTATTTTTAAGATCCCTTTCAAAACAATGTAATAGTCTGAAGATGTTGACGCATCCGAGTCACTCCTTGAACAATTGTTATCACATTTCGACTAATGCCAAAAAGTAACGTTGAATTAATTCGTAAGCTCATTCATATAATAATCTCACCATTGTTGCGTTCCATACTTCTAATGCGGCTAATGCTTTGGCCAGTTCAAGACTAGCTGATCAAGAGCTAGGTCCTTATTCAATGTCTGACTGACAAGATGGTGCCACGATTTGAGCATTCCAGGGCTCCCCCAGCTACCATGGGTGAACATTTCACTTTCGTGATAGCATCTGCAATAATCAAGGAATAATACAGTGATTCCTATTTAGATTGCGGCTATTCCCTTGCCTACGTTGTAATGAATAAACCTGTCTGAGTTAAAACCATATTTATCTATTATGTTCTTCTATAAATCAGTCGCTCCATTTTTCCAATAAAAAAAAGTTACCCAGAGGATCCGTTCGACAGCAGGAGACGAGAATACAGGCGATCATTGTTTTGCATGTAACTTATATTCGACATGGTAAAAGAATTCAAATGCTTCCGCAGTTGCATCGACTGAGTTTCCGCCAACTGTTCAGTGACGTTGTAAGATGCAAAGGTACCCATCGCTCTATTCACAGGCTGAAAATATTCTATGACAAGACTCTGAGAAAATTAGTTCTGTTACCCTATCGAGACCAAATCAATTTCGGACTCCATTCGCTGAACAGGAGGTTTCCTAAGAATGTTAGCAATTATTCGTATGCTTATACCTTTGGCTAGCGCAGTGCGCTGCCGATTTTCGAGAAGACCCTTTTGTAACGCTTCGACAAAAGGAAACATTTGGGCTCCACACCCGCGCTTTTGTCGCAAGACAGAGCACCTTCCTTCAACTGTTAGTAAGCTCTCGACAGCGCAGGATTCAAAAATTCCAACGCTTTGCTTAGCTTTGAGAAAGACCGTTGCTCTGCAATGCGACAGAAAAAATAAGTTGAATTCACGTACGCAAGCAAATGGTTCTTTGCCTTTTTACGTGTTGCTGTAGGGGGGGGGGGGGGGGGCAGCGGCTAGGTGGGCTGAGGGGATGATTGAAAGATTTACAGGCGGTCTTTAAGAAAAGCGATCTTTGTTATTTGACTGGTTTTCCTACTCCTTTTTGAAAGGAAAACTTTAGATAAAACCTATGACGCTGCTACAAAAAGACTCTAGATAATTTTATTTTTGCCATGAACACTGATAATTCAGTCATCATTATAACCGCTTTGATGGAATTCAAGAGGCGAGAATGTCTTAACTGCTTCAAACGGTGACTCGAAGACATTCGGATATCAGGAGAATTTCTTTACACTTTCATATGCTCGAAAATCGAGCGATAATCGCGACAGCCCACCTTGCTGCCTCACCTAGCGGCTCGTGAATCGGCCAAGGACCACTTTCTCGCGTATGTGAATCCAAATTATTTCTCCTGTTGCACTGCAGAGAAACGGTGTTTTCTGGAAATAAGCAAGGCTCTGGAATCGGCAAAAATTACGCTATCGAATGATTACTAGTAGTCCAAAGAAAAAACCCTCCCTTGGTAGAAATATGCGCGACTGGAACATAATGGTTTCCCTCCAGTAACAACAGCAAGAGAGGCCTTTTTGAAATCGTTTAAGTGAGGGCTGTAGCCAGTGATTTGAGCTTTAAAATGATTACTAACACTCCTTTTTTAGCCTCTTGCTCATCGAATAGGGTCGAATATTCATTTGTCCCTGGATGACGGAAAAAGGCAAGGAAATTGCAATGGCGAACGATTATCTCATGATGGACAAACACACTTGGAAGCTCTTCCTTAATATGAATTCTAGGTTAAATATAGTAAAGCTGTGCAAACCAATCACATTTTATGATGCAGTGTGAAGCTGTCGATAGACAGCGTTATTGGTGGGCAAGAAAAACTTGAACTTTCTCACCACTCATTACAAGATTATCAGCTGGAAAAAGGGAGTTCAGCTGTGAAAAACGTGCTCGAAGGTGAACAAATAATCAATAAGACAAATAGCTCTAGCGGAAATCACTGTAGACGTGTTATATGTGAAAGACAAAGATCCTAAGAAACCAGATATGGAATGGAGGCACATTTTTGGTAAGTAAAAATCAAAACGCTTGATTTTATGGAAGCAAAAGTAGAGAGGGACCAGGAACGGACTATTCTATTTGCAAGTCAATAAACCAAAGAGATTCAGATCGGTGGAATTAGCGTTAGTCGTTACGTTAGAGCGCTTTGTTTTTTAAACAGTGTACACAGTTCACACCGGTCGGTCTATAGTTACATGAATTGTCAACCCTCATTTGAGGATTGAATTGTAGCAACGAGGACTGGTCCTCCGCTGCTATTGAGTTGAATGTGGTGATCGGTAATCCGTAAAGTTCGGCTGATGCACCAGATTGTAGCAACCTGTGTCCAGAAAGATCGGCTAATGCACTAGATGTAGCGACCTGTGTTCAGAAAGGTCGGCTACTGTACCAGATTTAGCAACGGGGACTTATCCTCCGTTGCTATTGAGTTGAATTTGCTGAATGCTTGCCACAACGGCTGTTGCTGCTGACGCAAGTAGAATACTAGGCTTATTATAGACAACCCAAGACAACCTGAAATATATGTATACATATATACAATAATAACACGACAAAAGTAAGACCACAATAACGGTATATAACCATGACTTCAATAATGCTGTGATGGATGAGGTGGATGAGATGAATGGGATGGATGGGATGGATGAGATGTCTGCGAGGTCGGACTAGGCGGTGGACCTCGGGAAGCAGTTATGCTTGCCCCGAGCACACCAGTACACCGAAGATGGGACCAGTAGGTGATTAAATATATTAGAGAACTGTGGGTCTGTATGCAAGGGCTGGACCCATCCCCGGTGGCGGGCCAAACAGAACCCTAAAGGACTTAGTCCACCGCCGTAGCTCCCAGCTCCGCTCACAGAGTATAAGCGGGGTCGGTCGACTATGTGGGCCACATACACAACAACGACGGCAGAGTCAGAAGTCTAGAGTCGGGCAGAGGCGGAGAACCAGAGGAGACAAAGGCGGTGGAGTAAGGCAAGAAGACACGACCGATCACGACACCAGCACGAGACGAGACTGACCGCAGAAGTGAGCGGTCCTGTCCGCCGCCCCGCAACAGCGAGCGGCGCGACCACTGGCTGAGTCCCGCAGCGATATTCCTGCCATGGTATTGTCCCGATCGCTCTCAATTGCTCAGAGAAGTAGCGGCCGTTCCGTGGAACGGTGCTACATGAACAGCACCACCATGGAAATCCCACATGGAGTCGTAAAAAAATTTTTTCAAAAAACCTGCAGATCAACCAACGAAATATTATATCAAAAAACTATTGAAATTATTATTCGAATTAGCGAATCAAAAAATTAGACCATAAAATTCATGAAAGTAGTTAAAAGTTATTGAAACTCAAGCTTGAACTGTCTTGTCTAGAGTCACTCACATGACTCGATTGCTTAATTCTGGGTGCTGCGGTTGTCTGTCAAGCTACTGAAACCAGCAATCCTCACGTTCTACAAAAAAAGATTATTGCGCGGGTCGGTATAACCATTAGAAAACAAAACTTCCTAAATACTGAATCACTTTTAGTGGTGTTACGATGTTGTAGATATGCTCACTGATTTAGGGTGATGAGCAAAATTTTTGCGTCACTTAAGACTCGAGCTCACATTTCACCCTGTCCGACAACCCATACTCGAACCATTGCACTACCCACTCCTGTTCTGGCACACTTGTACGCTACAACGCAATCACTGAAAAGGCAATTAACCTCATTAGATAAGAGAAAAATCGAAGGTCAAGCTGATCAGTCATACCAACTGCGCTGAAATTCAGCTGGAAAAAGCTCCTGATAAGGATAAAAAAATGGATTTATCTCGTATTTACCACAGAACATTTCACACACAACTTAAACACACGCGTCCCTCATTTCGTGTGTGCCTCGAATTACTTGATTTGTTCCCAGTAAACACA